AACATTCTTACCAACAGAGAAAAGATTGAAGTTGTCAAGGACTTCATTCTTCTTGGATCAACTATCAACACTCATGGAAGCAGCAGTCAAGAGATCAAAGACGTATTGCATTAGGCAAATCTGCTGCACGAGACCTCTTTAAAGTGTTGAAGAGCAAAGATGTCAGCTTGAGGACTAAGGTGCGCCTGATCCAAGCCATGGTATTTTCAATAACCTCATTTGCATGCGGAAGCTGGACAGTGAATAAGGAAGCGCAGGTAGCCAGTCTGTCTTCCAGAGTGCTTGGGTGGGTTTGAGCGACCAACCTTTCAGCCAGTCACCAAACACTTAACCTTTTGCACCACCCAAAACCAAAACCCTCAATGCTGCTGAGTCGTGGCCAACTCTTAGGGACCTCACAGACCGAGCAAAATGGCCTCATGCTTTCCAAGGATACAGACTGCCTCCTGTTTATGTGGGGCCGCTGGATACCTCAACCAGGGAGCTTCACACATACACACACAAGGGCCTCCACAACTTCCTTGGAAAAATGGAATTAAAAGACAAGGGCATTTTCCTACAAGCTTTTTGAATCCCTCTGTATGTGTGTGTTTAGTATACTTTTTGGAGCAAGGTCACTGACATCATTGGTATTTACGGCAGGAGGGCTCTTCTGTATCACAGAATGCAGCCAGGGCCCATTCTGCCCTGTACACACAGCTGCTTCCAGCAAGGCCAAGGAAGAAGTTTCCAGAAGGAAAGCATGGTCACCAAAGATGGCTGCTTCCCAGAAAGAAGAACCATGAAACCACTAAACATGTTCTGTATACAGATCCAGAATTTATCTGAAGATTGAGTGCGTGACGGAGAGAGTGAGTGGTGAAAACCTGAGATGTGGGTGAGGAGAATCTGAGGGGACTCAGGTGTGTGTGTAGGTGAGGGGACTCGGTGTGTGAGTAGGTGAGGGGACTCGGTGTGTGTGTAGGTGAGGGGACTCAGGTGTGTGTGTGTGTGTGTGTAGGTGAGGGGACTCAGGTGTGTGTGTAGGTGAGGGGACTCAGTGTGTGAGTAGGTGAGGGGACTCAGGTGTGTGTGTGTGTGAGTCGGTGAGGGGACTCAGGTGTGTGTGTGTGTGTGTGTGTAGGTGAGGGGACTCAGGTGTGTGTGTGTGTGTGTGTGTAGGTGAGGGGACTCAGGCGTGTGTGTGTGTGTGTGTGTGTGTG